TGCGGCGGTAGGCAAACTTGTGTGGTGGGTCCGGTGTAACAGGCAGACAGGACTTCAAATGAGAAAGAACTAGTCTTTCAAAGCACTTGGAGTTGATGGAGGTGAGTGCGACAGGGTGGAAGTCAGAGCTGAGGCAGTCAAATGCTTTGGCATTGGCATAGTGGTGGCGTTGATCTGTTGCGGTGGTATTCACAGTTTTAGAGTTTAGGGACCAGGTGAGATCATCTGAGATGTGGGTATCTCAAATGATCTCACCTTGTCCCTAAACTCCTCCACCACCCGCTGGACCACAAAACTCTCAGGAAGAGCTTTTTCTCTGAGGCTGTGACCATGCTGAACTCCACACCTCCACTTTAACGGCATCTTTGCACTCACTGCACTGTATTGTACTTTATATTCTAGTATTATTGCACTACACAAAACGGGTCCAGTATCTGCTTTCTGTAACTCCGCCGCCAATTGGTGCAGCTCTTACTATTTAAAATTTTTTCCATCTATACTTGTGATAGCAGAGCCCCAGTTAATCCAATCAAACTTGCACTGGGATGTTTGGCTCTCTTTAACTAAGCTAAGTTAGCTAGGAGAGAGGACCCAGATAGTATTAGCTTAGATAGCAGGCTCCAGCTCCAGACACCAAAGATGTTTAAGAGGGTTTAATTTCAGCTTTCTGTTCCTCTAACATCCGCCACTCGACTTAACTTCCTCAGATTTGAGTCATCAAGTTGGCCTGGGGAAGCTAACTTAGTGTTCTTTGTAATATTCTTCTTCTTATTATTAAAATGGCTTGGAAAAGCCAGCTTACTGTTCTTCATAGTCTTTGTCTTCTCATTATTCTACGATAAAAATACAAAATGTTTTTCGTCCTGCAGTTTTCAAGTTAGAACAATTAAACTTTGGAGAATGTAGGACCTGATTAGGTTGCTTGTGCTTTTCTAAGCGATCTGATGTACAGTTTTCAGAAAACAATTGTTCAAAGATGACATTTTTTCCCACAGGAAATTAATGTTGGTATGTTCAGGAGATTCAACTCTAAGTGCCACAAGTAATGTCATAATGCACATCTCTCACATAGACACTCATAAACAGTATACACAGACTCACACACAGCCTAATGTACAGCAAAAACAGCAGAAATAATGGTGGCACTGGATTTAAGGTAGCAGTGTATTTAAAGTACCAATGAATTTAAGGTAGCAAGAGATTAAAGGTGGAAGTGGATTTAAGGTAGCCATTGATGTTAAGGTATCAGAAGAGTTAGAGTACCAGTGGATTAAATGTGGCAGTATATTTAAGGTAGTAGTGGATATAAGGAAACAGCACATTTAAGGTGGCAGGAGATTTGTAGGACCAGTAGATTTAAGGTAGCAATGAAGTTAAGGTATGAGTGGATTTAAGGTGGCATTGGATTTAAGGTATTTAAGATAGATAGTAATGTATTTAAGATAGAAATAGATTTAAGGTTGCAGGAGATTTAAGGTAGTAGTGAACCTAAGGTTTGAGTGGTGTTAACTAGGCATAGGATTTCAGGGAGTAGGGAAGTAGTTAGCAATTAATTTAAGGTAGCTGAAGATTTAAGGTAGCTGTGGATTTAAGGTAGCAATAGATTTAAAGTACCAGTGTACTTAATAGCATAGCAACCACCTAGCAACACCTTGGCAACAACCTGGACACCATAGCAACCTAGTGACATCTAAACAATATTTTAGCAACCATCAACTTGGTCTTCCATCATGTAAATGTTTCAACATAATTAGCTGCCTTTTTCAAGCCAACCTTTTTTGTTTTTCTGTTTATGAAGTTGTCTTGGAAAAACTAACTTACTGTTCTTCATAATCTTCTTCTTACTATGATTTTTATTCTGCGCTCAAAATATTAAATGTTTCCCGTTTCGCAGTTTTTGAGCTAGAACAACGAACTTTGCAGGATCATGAGACTTATACCCAAATAGGTAGCTTGTGCTTTTCTAAGTGATCTGACGTATGGTTTTCATAAAACGATCACCTAATTCACAGAAATAACAGCAAAAATAATTTAATTAAGGTGGCAGTGCGTTTGAGATAGCAGTGAATTTAAGATGGCAGGGCATTTAGCGTAGCAGGAGATTTAAGGTGAATTTAAGGTGGCAGTGAATTTAAGGTAACAGTAAATTTAAAGTGGCATTGGAATTAAGGAGGCATTGGTTTTAAAGGAGCAGTGGATTTATGGTAGGGACGTAATTTAAGGTAGCCTGAGTTTTAAGGTGGTAGTGGATTTAAGGTGGCAGTGAATTTAAGGCAGCAGTGGATTTAAGGTATCCGTAAATTTAAATTGGCAGTGGAATTAAGGAGCCATTGGTTTTAAAGGAGCAGTGGATTTACAGTAGCAATTAATTTGAGGTAGCCTGAGATTTACGTTGGTAGTGGATTTAAGGTATCAGTAAATGTAAGGTGACAGTAAATTTAAGGTGTCAGTGGATTTAAGGTATCAGGTGACAGTGACTGAAGGTGACAGTGTATTCAAAGTAGCAGTGTATATAAGATACCACTGAATTTAAGATATCAATCTATTTAAGATGTTGGTGGATTTAAGATCTCAGTGAATTTAAGGAAGCAGTGGATTTAAGATAACAGTGTGTTTAATAGCATAGCAACCACCTGGCAACATTTTATCAACAACCGGGGACACCATAGCAACCACCCAGCAACACTTCACCAATCACCTTGGATACCATAGCAACCACATAGCAACATCTAAGCAACCATGAATGGTCTACCACTATTTTAACATTTTAATGTAATTCGCTGGCTTTTAGCTCTGGCTTTTAGTTTTTAGTGACTTAAAGTTCGTTCACGAACTTTGCTTTTTCCAGTTACTACTGTTATTACAGCTGCGATTGCTGTGCACTAGGCTGTATGCGTGTGGGTCTGCGTGTACTATGTATGAGTGTATGAGTAAATTGAGTAAAACTAAAGGATATGGCCCAAATCTGCCTCCAACCTGGCCCAACTACACTGTTGGTCCACAACAATCACACCAGAATTGTCCCACAAATGGACAAAAAAATGGATCTGGCCCTATTCTGACCTGCATCCCTAGCATCTACCCGGTAGCCAACCAACACTCACATAGGAAAGCCAGAATAGGCCCAAACCTGTCTACTATCTGGGTTGGCTTTTTCAAGCCAACTTAATAAGAAGAAGAAGATTATGAAGAACAGTAACCTGGCTTTTCCAAACCAACTGAATAAGAACCTTACAAAGAACAGTAAGTTGGCTTTTTTGAAGCCAACCTAATTACAAAGAACAGAAGTTGACTTTTCCAAGCCAACCTAATTAATACAATAAAACAAAACAAAACAAAACAAAAAACCTCTCCCTCTCATCCACCCTAATCCAGTAGGGTCCCAAACAAAATATAAACACAGTGCCTTTACATGCACTTAATAATCCGATCATAATTGGATTTCTGTAGTTATCTGATTATTCAACTGGTCATGTAAACAGCATACTCTTATTTCTTAGATCAGGGTAAAGTCTAGAAATCAGATTAAGAAAGCTGATAACAAGAGCTGGATTTTAGCTCAGTAATCAGATTTCTCAGTGCATGTAAACTCTTCTTTCGGATTTCGCTGTGCATATGCGAAACAGACCGTGGTACCGGAAATAAGCAAGCAGCATTGCCGCGAGACAGCAACAAAATACTTTTGGAGCGATGCTGAAACTGACTACATGCTTGATGAAATAAAGGATTTAAGTATTCTTCATCTTCTATATGATGTGTGTTATAGTTTCAGGTAAAGTGGCGCGATGTTTAAAAAAAAAGCCATGGCATGAAGTTTGAGTTTTACATTACATTTACGTCACATCAACTTCTGTAAGTTTATTGGCCAGTTGCCCTGCAGAAATCTGATTATTGCCTGACTCATGTAAACCTGGAGTTTCCCATTATCTGATTACTCAAGAGCATGTGTACGCATTGATCGGATTACTGACTAAATCTGATTTTCTGCAGTTATCGGATTATTAAGTGCATGTAAATGCACTCACAGATAACAAGCGTAACGTTACATGGTAAAGAATGACAAAAATCCCCTTTACTTCACACATCCATGCAGCATCAAACTCTCTCCATCCTTTAAGTTCCCTTTCAGTAATTCTACAATAGACAGACTGTTAAAACTTTTACTGATGAAATGCAAACATTGTATACAAAAAACTAATATACATACATGATAATACAAAACCAGTAATATCTACAGAAACACTAAAACCGATAGCAAATGTTGGCAGAAAAGGGGTGAAAGTGATTGGTTGAAACCATTCCCAGTGCATTGTGGGATATGTAGTTCATCCCGACATTAAGTACAGTCATAATCTATCTCATAGCTGACTGGTTCGGTTGAGTGCTTAAAACTCCTTATTAAAGGATTTTTAGAAACGTCTATAGAGAAAATGAATATGATTTACGCTTCTGGTACCAGAGGCGCTGAAAAAGCAGGCGATCAGCACAGCTCCTCGTACGTCACTTAACCAATCGCTCACTTTTTCAGTAAACCATGTCGCAACTGGTTGGAACAACAAGACTGCCTGACTGGCTAGATTTGAGCAGGTGTGCAACCCTTACCGCCTCTTAAAATAATAAAAAAATCCAGCAACTAATATATATTTTTAATTAATTGTTATGCTATTATTGTGAGATTCTGGGTCATTATTGTGAAATACTATCTCATTATTTTGAAATTCTAAGCCATTATTTTGAAACACTAACGAGAAAGCATGTCAAAAAACGAGGACGTTTCTGAAAATTAGATGGTATCTCAAAACAATCACTTAGTATCTCATGAAATAGTGTCGTAATGGCTTAGCAATTCACTTAGAAAAGAAAAAATAATAATTTGCATTTCTTATTTTAAGTGCCGGGAATGAGCTTCCATATTCCATAGATATGCTTCCATAGGAACTAGGTAAATGTAACTTCTTACAAGAAAAAAAAAAAACAACGTGGGTGGGAGGATTCGTTGTAATACGCATGTACGCGGATTCAACATGGCGACCTACATGAGATTGTTTTGCCTCGAACACTTTCCAGCGCATTTACACCCTTTACACGTAGCTGTCAGTAAGTTACAGTTCACTAGAAGGTTTCCGAGCTGCAGTGAACTCACCTGTGCGTTGTTGTTAACTATTCGTGAAATTCAGGCGTCCAGGAAACCAGGCTTTTTAGTTTGCGCCCACGTAACAGCGGAAGAACAGATTGATGGCAGTGCGCTGAGTGTCTGCAGTAACGACAACGCTCTTGGGGTTTATGTGAGCAAAACGTTTCTCTTACACTACGAACTGCAAGAAAATACAAGAGGAACTGTCCGTCCACTGCAACTTCTGCCTCTTAACAGGATTGTTATTGGCGCTCGAACAAAGCAAAGTTTTAAATGGGCATCCTCAGAGAAGTTCTCCAGCGTTCTGCTTATACTGGCATCGTGTCATAAACAGACATTGTTGGCACGGCAAGGCGATGTGTTGGTTTTGCCATACCACCCTTTGCTTGGCGATGATACCACACAGATAAATCAGTATATGTCAGATCTGGTTGTGTTGGAGTGTACGCCAGTCACTCAGGGAATGATTACCATCCACACTAGCGTTGTGGTCTCTGATTGCAGGGATCTTCTGCTTAGTCATGCCTTGCTGGACCTTGCTGTCACCCCACTGGGCAGACCTTCAAATTCATCCCTGTTTGCTTCTGACTTTGCCCATTATGCAAACAGTCTTGGTCCAGGGAGCTCCTTGTTGAACAATAAACTGTTGATATCCTCTGGCTTTACAGGTTTTCTTCAGGCTCTTGAGTGTAGGCTAGATGTGAAGGTTGTTGATGTTGCCAGGCTCTACAGGCAGGGTAAACTGAGCCTGAGAGTAGAGCAGGATGCTGAAGTGGACACAGACAGCATGATTTTTGTAAACAAGAACTTGTTACTGAAGCTGGGGTTGTTCAATGGGGAATGGGTTGTATCTGCACTGTGCCCTCCTTTGGGGAAGGGAAAAAAGTCTTCAAGGACAGAACTAGCGCAAAGTCCTGGAGGAGCAGAAAATGAAAGCACCTCAAAGTCTACAGCCAAGGCCAGAGGGGATGTCCACCTTGCTAAAATCATGGCATTTAATGGGGACAGGTTTTCAGACATGGATGCTGGTGATAATGTGGGTTTCATCTCACCTGTTCAGTGGTTCAACTTGTCGAATGGAGAGCCAATACCGGTTGGGAATAAAGCTGTCAAAATAAAGGTGAGCAGTGTTGAATCACATGTATGTCTATATTTAGCCACGATTCTAATGCGTTAATATGGGCTATTCTTGAAATGATTTTTGCAGAGATGGAACCAGGCACCATCAGAGACAAGGTTGAAACTATCAGCAAGTGCATGCTGCTCTGCTTCACCTTCATATGCCAAAGAACTTCACATTGAAACTGTCATATCTCCAGATTACAACTCTTATGGACCCTTTGACAATATTCTCTTTAAGCACTTCAGTACACCAAGGTTCAAATTATTCTGTATTAATACTCATGCTCATGAAATGTTTTTAATAGTGTGTTATGTATGTTAAAAGGTTTTTCTTAATTTTCCCTCTTATTTGTATTTTAGACTCGTCCAGCAGGGATGGATATTGGGTATCCCAACCCAAGGATGTCCTGATCTTGTGGAGAGCAGCTCTGATGGAGTTACAAGGTTTTTATTCTCTTTTGCATATTATTATTCATTTTTGCATTCTAGCTTGATTTGATTTGAAATTGAAGATTCAAGGAAGCTGAAAGTTCATTGTAAAGGTTGTAGAAGCAAAACAGCTGGATATATCTCAGGGTGTGTCATTTCTTTACCATGCAGTCATCCTGCATTACATTTTCTTTTCTGTAATCCAGTGATATTCCCTGCAGGTGGCCAGTCTTATATTTTAAAGTGAAGCAGGTAACAGGCTTTTCTGAAGAGGAAGGAGAGGTGGCATCTTATCTTGCAGATACAGACCACACCTCTTTGTATATGGTAAGGACGAACTCTGAGGCAACTCAAAGTAAAGCTTGCCACAAACAGCTCGATAATTTCCATATCTTGAGTCATATCTTGTCCTTTGTTACTGATCAGGAAACAACAGTGCAAGACCAGTTACTTGTGGCTTATTGTCTTCTGAAATTCGGAGGCTTTGTCTTAAAAGGGCTGTGTTCACCAAATATAGTAAATACCCTCAAAACTTGCTTTTGCACTTTAACCATTGATTTCTTTGTAATAATAAAACACGATTGAACACCTTTTGTGATAAACTGGAGTGTCAGTTGCAAGCCAGATCTAAGCAGCCAACATCATTGCCAGGCGTCACTAATGCTCTTGTGGCTGAAAGGAATCAGATCCCCTTAGCAACATTCCAGTATCTAATGGAAAATCTTCCTCGAAGAGTAGAGGACGTTACTGCAGAAAAGGAGGATCATCTCCCTATTAATACCCTTCATTTTGCTTGATAATGCATTTGATAAGCTTGAGTCCAAAAGAGGGGTGTAACAATACTCTTAGTTCATTGTTTAACTTGATTCATGATATCAGGTTCACAATTCAATATTCTCTGTGTTTTTGAACAAAATTTGTATGAACACATGCTGATGTGTATTAAGATGATTGTGACTTTTAGTGATCAATGTTGATCATTGTTTTTTTCAAATATTGCTGTTCTTTTAAATTGCAAATTATCATTCTTTCAGCATCACCAACTAATCAAACACACCCATGCATAGTTTCTCTGCCATTTGGAAAGTTTATTAAATGATCTTGTTCAGAGGAATGATGTCAACATGTTAGTTTGGCAAAATTTTGGTTTCCAAAAGAACCACTAGATGTGTTATACATCCTCTGTGAAGAATATAGTCATCATTATAAATGATAAATTATCAAATTAGAATTATATGACTATCTGAGAAAATACAAGTTGTAGGGTAAGGCTCTGTAAAGCTCACACATACTTTGTTACTGAATTTGGATTACGATAATATTATATTGTGATAATTCTGCGGTCAGTTTTATTTTTTGCCTAAATGTACATTATTAGACAAGCTTTGCACATTGTCACATCGCTTATTGTTTGCATCACAATGTATTGTCACAGTGTATTGTTACACCCTTAGTCCTGATACTTTTGGACATTAACTGTGCTGTGTAATTGTGAGTTTATATGTGTACATGTATACTTACTGAAAGCTTAGATCAATTCAGTTTGTTATTGGTTGTCTGCAGAGAGGCTCTACCAATAGCCTGGCACCGTGTTCTGTTTTGGAGGTGGGTCCATCATTCTGGACATGTCTGTCCCCTCCAGCTCTCTCAAGCACTGTTGAGCAACTTATCACAATCATACAGCCCCACCTCACTGAAAGGTCAGTGTTCTTGCACTATAAATTATATAAGAAAGTAGTAGCGTTCTCCGTATAAAAACAATAGTTGTTTGTTTTTAAAATGCCTAAAAAATGCCTTGTATATCCAAAACAAAGGTAAATGTGTTTAAAAGTGTAAAGTAAAAGTGTTTGTTCTTTGGGGTTTTCAGTTTTCACTCACTGTTTTCTTTGTATGTAAAAGGTGTGCTACTTGGAAGCAAGGCTGCTCTGTTCTTCTCATGGGTCCAAATGGAAGTGGTAAGGTCACAGCAATCAAGGCAGCGTGTAGGAGGCTACATCTGCATCTGCTGAAGGTCTCAGTACACTCCTTATTAAACCAAAGATTAAATTAGTGTTCTGAGCCACCTAATCAGTCCGAACTTTTGTTTATGGTATTCGCAAAACAAGATTTCTCAGTAAGTTGGATAATAAAGTAAGGACTGTCCAGTAGCCCCATAGTCCTTCTGTTGGATAGACTTATTTGCCTATCGTAAAACCTTGTGAAATACCCCCATCTCTTAAACACCTGTTGCAGAAAAAAAAGGTCTGTAGAAAGAAGCTTTTTGTGATTTGAAAAAGAACATAAATATGGACTCTCTGGTGGTTCCTAAGGCCTGGGATGAGAACCTATGAATTTGACCATCCACAAATATAGTACAACACATCAAAACTGTAACTACACTCTGCTTCTCCTTGAGACTGTAGTTCAGATTCATTATAGTTTGAGGTTTGCATTTTCTTAACCGAGTGTGTTTTCACAGGTGGACTGTGTGACCCTCTCCGGAGACACTGCAGCTGCCTGTGAGTCTAAGATGAAGGCAGCCTTCCACAAAGCTGAGCTCCATCACCCTTGTGTGCTGTTGCTAAGGAACCTGCAATTACTTAGCCAGCGACGGGATGGCACCGAAATGGACGCTAGGGTAGTCTCTGCTCTTTGCCAACTCGTTGCTGACACCCACTCAAGGTAAAGTAACAGATTTTGCTGTTGTGTAAAACTTTTGAAAGATCTTTTCCTTCATACTTTGTAAATTCACACAAGAGACAAAAATGACTGCATTAAAGCTGAAGTAAAAGTGAAATTATTGCAACAAACTGTAGGTGCTGTTAAACATATGCAGAAACAGTTATAAGGATAATGTGAACGCAGACAATGGAGACACATACTTTTCTTCAGCGAAATGTCAGCGTGCTCCGGCCAACGGAATATGTTCTCTTCCAATGCAGTGTAATCGTGGTTGGCTCTGTGAGTGACCAGCGGGGTTTGTCCTCAGATGTGATGGCAGCCTTTGTGCACCAGGTGGCGATGGACAGTCACTCAGAGGAGCACAGAAAGGCCATTCTCACCAGCCTAAGTGAAGACCTCTCCCTGGCAAAAGATGCCAGTCTTGCCAAGATTGCTAAGCAGACTGCGGTAAAAAGGCCTACAAAGATTACCTTTTCCAACTTTTCGATACATACAGTGGCAAATTGTCCCTTACTAATGACAAGTCTGTATTATGATTGGTTGTTAAGTGTGGATCTCTTCTTAGTCTCATTGACCATCGTGCTCTCTCTGAAGGGTTTTGTATTGGGAGATTTCTGTACACTCCTCACCAGTGCTGGAAAAGCAGCTCACCAGCGGCTGCTGACGACTTAGTGAGTTATTCACTTCTTATTTGTATCATTGGAAACTTTGTCCTGCATAACTACTTTATAGCATGTAATGTTACATAAACCCAAGACATACATAATCATACCTGGATAGATCAGGTCATTAAGTTATCACAGTGATTTTTTTAGACGAATATTGTGAGTTACCCAGAAATCAAAATTGCCTTTTTTACCTTTGTAGTCCATGTTTTAATGTCCCTGGTTATATTATGCATGATCCATAATATTATATAATTTTGTTTAGGGACAATCTTTTATCAATTATCATTTATCATGCTGTGATTTTAGGCACCTCTAAAACATCTGCTTTTTGGGCACTGTATGTTGACATGAAAGTAATGAAAAAAAGAGAGGATTTCCTTTGGTTTTAGGGCCTTGTTTTATATACAAGCCTGTCTGGTTTTCTGCATAGCTATCCACACGGAGCCAGTGCTCAGGAGGAAGAGGACCTGTGTGTGTGTGGTGTGACTATCATGGCTGCTGACTTTACCAAAGCTCTGGAGTCCTTACAGGAGGCCCACTCCCAGGCCATTGGAGCACCTATGGTAAGTTTACTTTAGGACTATTATTATATTATTATTTATATATATATATATATATATATACATATATATATATATATATATATATATATATATATAAAATATTATTATTAATATAGGACCCAACATTGCAAAAGCACCAGGGTTTAATTCTCTCATGTATATGCTAGTTATATATGTAACTGTGGTTATGTAAGTAGTGGATGACTGCCAGGGCGGTTATTACCAAGAGGAGTGGATGGTTTTCTAGCTGTGCAAGTTGCAGACCAAGAAATAACAGATGAGAGCAACACATCTGGGTACTTTGCCATTGTGTAATGCCCCTGCCCCTTTTTGGGTGAAAACAGCCCCTCTAATTTGTCTGGCCTTTCTAATTTGACAAATTCAGAGGTCTTTGACAATTTAATAGCATAAAATAACAATACCCTACTGATTTATAGCTATTAGGAGCCCAGATCCTATGGCTAGTCAGGAAAACAATTATGCTGTTGCCGATCAACGATTGCAGTCATTATTTAGAAAAAGAAAAAAAAGTGGACAAATTCCCAGTGGCTGGAGGTATCATATTCACAATTTGATTCCCTATAGTTTTATTATCATGGCATCAATGCAGCATTTAGACAGACTTTGAATTTGGATAATGACGATAACCATGACATAATCACTTCTGCCTACTCTCATCCAAGCCAGACAGTCACCTCATGACACCAGCATGTGACGTAGTCAAGCTTAAATATACTCAAGTCACACTGCAGTCTTCCTTGGAACCTGGAGCCATATTGCATAAAATTCATTCTTTTTTCTGAAGACAAATTTGTATTACAGAAGCTTAATTTAGGAATTTTATCTTACAGCATCTTAAGTTAGGAAGTTTGAACAGTCAAAGTCGACAATCAATTGTTATGTCTGTTACCAATCAACCAACAGTTATGCATGGCTGAAATGTAAATACCTGATCAAAATAATGTGCAAGTGTAAGTTACAGCTACCACTATGAAAAAAAGGTCATACAAATGGTGATTACAAATATTGTGACAGCTATCCATGCTGTTTTTCAAAGCATCACTGCTCCCCAGTTTCACTTATTTCCCAAATGCTTTAGCTGACAATACTAACATTGCTCTTCCTAATAAACAGCCACACATTCAACTCCTAATTATTCAGTACATCACTGTAATATTATATTGACGAGTTTTCATCAACATTAAACAGAAGTTAGGACACTGTTGGTGTTCTCCTGAAGTTAGGACAGTATTTAGGAAGTTTAAGGTGGGTTGCATTAAGAAGGATTAAATTAAAACAGAGTTTAGAGCTAATCAAGGATTTGTTAAACTGGGTTTTATTTTAAATCGAGTTGTGTTGCACCACTTAATTTTAAAAATGGATTAACAGATCTGTGATAAAACCTCTGTGACTTCCTGATTTCAACCCAATTTGGACTACACATGTGCAGCAAAGATATGTTGTTTCCAGTTGTTGCTACCCAGGCTGCACATAATTAATTATACAAATTAATTAATTCAATCAGTACTACAAAGGCTTTAAAAATACATTTTGTACAGCAATTTTGATAAACAGAGCAGAAACAATCTGTTCAATTCGTATTAACATTAAGATCTTACGTAAAACTAACCACAGAATAGAAAACAAATATAGATAGAAAATAAATAAATGAATTTTAAAAAATGTAAAATGTAACAATGAGCACAGGGCATTTTTACTACACATGAATTCTCAGTATTTGTGTAAAAAAAAAAAGCCAAATATTCTTTTTGGAATGCTAACCAGTTGCGAGAGTTTTTAAAGATTCTGCATTTATATATGTAGTATTTAGCCAAAATGGTGAAACTGTTAACTAAAAGTTACTAAAAATAACTAAAATTTCTGAACATTTTTATTTAACACAGGGTGCGATAGAGGCGATTTTTCGAAAACCCTATTCATTCTGACCGCAGAGAAATCGAGCTTAGAACAGGAGTTACTAATGTGGGCATAACGCCAACTACAGAATGATGCACGACTACTGTGGTCTATTCCTCCTGACCCTCTCCTCTACTCATTCTTACGTGGTAGGAGAAGAGGAGGTGGAAGGGAAGTTTCTGGATGCAGCCCAAATCGGGTTGGTTGACCTACATTTTCGCATATGCGTAATCCAAATCAGGTTTCCTTTCAAAAAGAGAATTCCTTGAGAAAATTACCACTCTGTAATGTCTTCCGGGTTTCTCAAACGCTAGAAGGCCATCGAGCAAGGCCGAAATGAATGGGTTAATATGGAGCATTTGAGCAAAATCATAGTTAATACAAAAGAATGCATTCATTTCCTGAACCCAGAACAACATAAAACATTTAAACCCCGCTGTTATATTTTTAACCACTTTTGAACTACAAGTAAGTTTTCCTTGATTTTTTAGCAAATTTGAAATGCATGCTGGACAAACGGTAAGAAACTTTAACTTTTCGTTTTTAGCCGTTTAGCTTCATTTCCCTCCATTCATTGAAGACTTGCTCTCAGGAACCCCCTGGTGATTTGCAGTCATGTTTTTGATATGAGGGGAAATAGGAAGTGCCCAGGTTCCTCTTAAACTGGTTCAGACATTGACAGTGTGTACACCAGTGACCTGGTGTTCTCAATGGGGACCAGCTGATGTCACTTCCTCATCAGCTTCTCATGCGCTGGATAGAGGGAAGGCCTGAGACTGCAGTAGATCTCCCATAAATCTCCCGCGTGCAGTTCAAATTACTGCAATGTTTGTAGGAGCTGCCCAGCAACAATTTGTGAACATGTTGAAGGAATATAAATCACAACCATTCAACACAATAGTACACTTTCACCATATAGCAAATTTTTGTTACTACTTTCTAATAATGGTCATTGTAAAACAAATTTGAAAATGATAATATAAAAATAATAATAATAAAAATAATAATAATGAAAGATTCGAGATCCTGAATAATAATAATTATTATTATTATTTTACAATCAAAATGGAGCATAACTCATACATTACTGAGTAATAAGTACACAATAATAATAAAATATAAAAGAAATAAGTAAATACAATACATTCGTCCAAGGTTATAAAAATGTCTGTACCCACTTCCTTGTTGGTGCAACCCACACTTAGTCAGGTTAGTATGTTTCTGTAATATTGTTTTCTTTTTAGAGTTAGAATTTAAGAGCTGTTATAATACCTGTAATAGCTACTGTCCTAAATGCAATCCTAACCGAAGTTGTCATGGTGCCTAAACAGATAAAATTTCAGAGTTAGGATGTTTCTGTGATATGGCCAATGGTCTGTTCTTGCAGACTCAGAGTGACCAGGAGCCCTGGCAGGCTTCCACAGCTCACCCACAGTTACAGTAACTAAAATTATGTGTTGTATCTTCTTACCAAGTCAATGAATTAAATCCACAATGTCATGAAGAGTGCCTTAACTGCAGCCCATACCCAGACTGGTCTGTGTAAGCTGCTCGGCTAATGGACTGATTAATGAACCCAGGATTGAGAACTTTGGGTAAGAAGGCTAGACTAGGTTTTAAGAAAATATTTGTATTATCTGAGACACATGGATAGCTCACAGACATGCTTAGCCCTAGAAACAGTGAGCAAAAATGGTTGTCTTTAAGGAAACCCACCTAAGAGCAGCCTGAACTTCAAAGGACGTATGACACAGGGTGGTGCCCTAAGTGATTGGGACAGATGCAGTCTCTTCGCCCCCTTTCGAAAGGTGTTCACCAGCTTATGGAAGCTCAACAAGGAGCCCTTAGGTAGGGCCAAGCAGCTTGCTAGGGCTGCCGCATAAACTTTCAGGGTATAAAGGGTCCTTCCATTGTCAAACAGGGACTGCAAAAAGGAAAGCACCACTTCAACGGTACATGAGAGCGGGTCTATCTGGCTGTTAGAGCACCAGTTGGTAAACGACTTCCATCTGCCCTTATCTAGAGTGCAAGTGTAGGGGGCTCTGGCATTCAGGATTGTGTTTCTAACTTCCAAGGAGCACAGTGTCAGCTCGGAGGTAACTCCAAGGGCCACAGCTCAGTGCTGTACCTGACCCCCCACCCCCGAGCTGAGAGAGAAAGTCCATGCAGACGGGCTGTTCCCATGGAAGATCAGTGAAGAAACAGCCCATTGAGGGCAAAAGTTTTCAAAGCTCCTAAATAGTCACTGGGGTGCGTTAACAAATTACTTGGCCCGAGAAGCGAGAAGAGAAGGAGGTAGACTCCAGTGTGACTTCTGAGCTCCACTGTGTCACGCTCTGGTGTCACAAGATGACTCTTTGGCATATTTTCTCAGTGTTCAGCACTGCAAGAGAACCATCCACTCAATAAGAACCACCCTGGTGGTCAGAAGATACAAAACATAACTATGGGTGTATACAACTAAGGGTGGTTTTGTTGTATAGTTTAATTTGATGTCATTTAAAATATACTGATGTTCCATTGATGGCCTAACTAAACTTTTCGCTACTGGTGACATTTTTATGATGGAAACAATCAATCTGTTTAGAGAGAGCTACAGTTCAGGAATTAAAGTTTATCTTTTGTGAATGGCAGATCCCGTCTGTGAGGTGGCAGGATGTAGGGGGTCTGCAGCATGTGAAGAAAGAAATCTTAGATACCATCCAGCTCCCTCTGGAGCATCCAGAGCTGCTCTCGCTTGGCCTGCGACGCTCCGGTCTGCTGCTCTATGGGCCACCAGGCACCGGCAAGACACTGCTTGCTAAAGCTGTGGCCACTGAATGCTCTATGACCTTCCTCAGGTGGGGATGCTGCATCATTTTTTTTAAAAAGCTTGTATGTTTTCTCCATTCCAATAAGCTTGCGCTTGTGCATTTATTGCTTTTACCTTAAACACACTGACACAATTCATAGGCAATGAGTTTGAAGCTGGTGTGTTAAAAAAACTAAAACTTGATGAACTGTCAGTGTTACTTTGCTGTGAAACAAATACTATGATTGTTCTGGGAGGTACATGACTGATGATTGCTTTTGATTCCAGTGTCAAAGGGCCAGAGGTCATAAACATGTACGTGGGCCAGAGTGAGGAGAACATCAGAGAGAGTAAGAATCCATTTAGGGAAATGTACTCATTTGTTCACTTATCTTGTAATTAAATCCCCATGACCCCTGACCAAGACTCCCTTAGTGTAACCCTTCATAATGTTAATCGGCAGATTTGAACAGAAGCAAAAAGTCCCAAGTTAAAAGGAAACCTTTTTTTCTTTTTTTCTCTATGTCTTTGTAAGTGTTTAGCAAAGCTAGGGCTGCAGCTCCTTGTATCATCTTCTTTGATGAGCTGGACTCTTTGGCTCCTAACCGAGGTCGCAGTGGAGACTCAGGAGGAGTGATGGACAGGTCTGTTACATAAAGAGCACTGGTTAATGCTGAATAATTCAACACTCAGTCTCTGTAAAACCTTCACTGGAGGCTGTTTAATGAAGCCATTTTGCATATATTTGTTTTGTGCTTTTGACAACAGAAATTGTCGCAAACCAGCTTCACAGAAATCTGGCATCAAAGGCTTAAAGAATGCTTTATTCAAAGACTATTTATGTTAGTCTAGTAACATGCAGAACAAAAGCACCCATTCATAATTTCTGTGTTGCAGTATACCCCAAAAACTAAAAAAAGACCACAAATTTTTAAAATCTAATAAGAAAAATAAGGAAACATAATAAAAAGAATGGATAAAATAAAGAAAAATAATCTTAATAGGTTATCATGTACACACAAGTACACATAACCTGTTACACAAAGGCTTAACTAAAATCCTAAAGAAAACCTGCAGGCTCTAAGGAGAGAGAGAGAGAGAGGTAGGGGTGAAAGCACCCGCAGGTGTTTTCCCCGTCTAAGGCCTGATTCACACATACTGTGTCTGCGTGGCATGAGCAACGCGGAAAGTCATGCTTTTCATTTCGGTGCCCATGTTAACTGGTCAGTGCTTTCGCAAGGGCTACACGTGCGAAGAGGCAGAGCATCCCAGACACCGCACTGAAGCAGCATGGTATTCAGAGAGTAGACCCGACGCAAACGCAGAAGCAGGATGAGTGAATAAGGTCTTACACAGACTTGGTCAAAGATGTTCTAACTTTATGCAAATTAAATGTAAAAAAAAAAAAACAAGTTCTGATTCATCATTACAAATTAAACCAATTATAATGCAGATTTGAATTGGTTCAGAAACCTAACTAAGCACAGTGTCTTTGGAGAGATTCAGTCAACAAAGTTAGTGTCCATTATGCGCATCTTAACGACATAGGCAAGAATTGCTCTCAGTCAGGCCCAAGGCCTTGAAGGTTTCCAAATAGTCACCTTTCAACCAGTTATACAATGATGGAAATACCTTATTCTACGTTCTGTAACATAGGCCACCACCATGTCTGATAGGACAGAATGGAGATGGACTTAAAGACGTTTTTATCTCATGTCACAGCATCCTTCTCGAGAAACATGTGACAGGTCTTGCAGAGACACAAAAGCCAAAGAACTATTATTCTTTGGTGTTAGAAATATATTCTTAAGGAAAATATTCTATATTAAAGAGATTCACATTTGGTTATGGGAGATAATCTATATCTCTTCAGGCCAGTCAGGTGGCACAATGTGCTGAGCTGAATTAAGAAATATTGCTTCCTGGTGCTGAGGTGTTCAAGTTCAAGTGGTCTTTACTGCAGTTCCTCAATATAACTTGTATACATTGGACAAAATGTTGTTTTTCAGGTCCTAAGATGCAACACACAACAGCAGCATATTACACAGGACTACATAAAGTCTAGATACACAACAGTGTGAAACGAGTGCAGACTTCACACAAAAAAAACACCAGACAATAAATATACAGAACAACAAAAACTCAAGACAATAAATGAACAGAACAAAAAAACAATACACATGACGCTACTACACAAAAAAGCAAAACAATACACATGAATTGTGGTCCCATAGCAGCATTCAAAGATTAAGATTTAAAGAAGATATGCAGGTACAGGTGTGCAGTGATGGTTAAGGGGTTGTGGGATCAGTGTGTTCAATAATTTGACCGCCTCAGGGATGAAGCTTGTGGCTGAGTCTGGTGGTGGTGGAATGAAAGCTCAGAAGCTTTTGACTCTCTCCAAAGTTAGACCCTTTAATGTAAGTAAACGGTCACTAAATCATATGTATACACTATATAGTAAGTAAGTAAGTAAAGTTTATTTATATAGCGCTTTTTACAACAGGTGTTGTCACAAAGCAGCTTTACAAGGAAATGAGCATTACAAAAAGAAGTCCGGGTCCGAGCCCCCATGAGCAAGCCAGTGGCGACAGTGGCAAGGAAAAACTCCCTAAGAGAAACAGGAAGAAACCTTGAGAGGAACCAGGACTCAGAAGGGGAACCCATCCTCCTCTGGTCGACACCGGATAGTAAACATTGTTAGTATAAAGTATTATAGTACAAAAAACAGGGTAAAACGTGAAGGAAACAATTAATTTGAATAGTTCAGTTCATGCAGCAGAAGCAGCAGCATCAGTGGGGTCAGGTTGTGAGGGTGAGGTTTGCACGGTGAGCAGTGGCACCCGATCAAGGCAGCAGAGGCAGCAGCATCAGCAGCAGGATGGGCAGCTGTTCAACTCGGCAAAAGAAAGAGAGGAAAAACACAGTCAATGGGTGATTGATTAATTTGAATTAGTTTGAATGATTGATTGGTTCAAGTGAATAATTTTGAATAGTTCATGCAGCAACAGCAGTAGTATCAGTGGGGTCAGGTTGTGAGGGTAAGGTTTGCACGGCGTTGAACAGCAGGAGGCTCAATGTTGGTAACCCGGTCCAGAGGGCTGGCGAGCAGTGGCACCCGATCGAGGCAGAAAAGGCAGCAGCATCAGAACGCACAGGATGGGCAGCTGTTCAACTCGGCGAAGAAAAGAAAGGAAAACACACAGAGAGGAAAACACACAGAGTTAGTTCTGTAATGGGTGACCGATCACAAATTACAGTGTTAGCAGAGACTCTGGCAGGTATAGAACTAACAGGGAAAACTAATTACCAAAGGCTTGAATATACAAGTAGGTTTTTAGCCTAGACTTAAAGACTGAGGCTGTGTCTGAGTTCCGAACATTAACAGGAAGACTATTCCAAAGCTGGGGGGCTTTGTATGAGAAAGCTCTCCCCCCTGACGTAACTTTATTAATTCTGGGTACTAATAGTAAGCCAGCACCTTGTGATCTAAGTAGGCGGGATGGTTCATAGTGAGATAGAAGTTCACTCAGGTACAGCGGGGCGAGTCCGTTTAGTGCTTTATAAGTCAGCAAGAGAATTTTATAATCAATCCGAAATTTTACTGGCAACCAGTGTAAGGCTGATAAAACTGGGCTGATATGGTCAAACTTTCTGGTTCTAGTAAGAACTCTGGCTGCAGCGTTCTGGACTAGCTGAAGCTTGTTAATGCTTTTGCTGGGACATCCAGCCAGCAGGGCATTACAGTAATCTAGCCTTGAAGTAATAAATGCATGAACTAACTTTTCTGCATCCTGTAGAGATAATGCATTTCTCAATTTAGCAATATTGCGAAGATGCAGGAAGGCTGTTCTAGTAATATTAGTTATATGTGTGTCGAAGGACAGATCAGGGTCTATAATGACACCAAGGTTTTTTACATATGAGCTTGATGCAACTGAGAAATTGTTAAGTTTAAGTGTTAAATTAGACAGTTTGTTTCTAGCTGCTTTTGGACCAAGAAGCAGAACCTCTGTTTTATCTGAGTTTAGAAGGAGAAAGTTACTCGACATCCAGTCCTTTATGTCTTGTATACAGTCTTCAATCTTGCTAAGTTTAATTCTATCATCTGGGTCGCTTGCTAAATATAACTGAGTGTCATCGGCATAGCAGTGGAAGTTTATGCCGTGTCTACTGATAATGGTGCCCAGTGGTAGCATATATAAAGTGAATAATACAGGTCCTAAAACAGAGCCTTGTGGAACACCATATTTTACTTTTGTGAGAACAGATGATTCACCGTTTATATTAACAAACTGATACCGATCAGTGAGGTAGGACCGGAACCAGGAAAGAGCTGTTCCTGTTACCCCTACAAGGTTTTCTAGTCTGTCTAGTAAGATAGTGTGGTCTATTGTGTCAAATGCCGCACTAAGATCGAGGAGGACTAACAAGGACACATGATCTTGGTCAGAAAATAATAATAGGTCATTTACAATTTTTACTAGTGCTGTTTCTGTACTATGATGTGGCCTAAAACCAGATTGGAATTTTTCATGTATTTGATTCCTATATAAAAAGGAGCTTAACTGTTTTGCTACAACTTTTTCCAAGATCTTAGATATAAAGGAGAGATTCGAGATGGGTCTATAATTTGAAAGTTCGCATGGATCGAGGTTAGCTTTCTTAATCAGCGGTCTAATCACTGCTAGTTTAAGAGATTTTGGGATGTACCCAAGGCTAAGAGAAGAGTTTATTATCGACAGAATAGGCTTGGTTATTTCCGGCAGAATTTCCTTGAGTAAACCTGTAGGAATCGGATCTAGCATACAGGTAGATGATTTCGCGGAAGAGACTATTTTAAATAGTTCATTTTCTTGGAGTAAGGTAAACGATTCCAACCTCTCTGCAGGAATTATAATATTTTCAAGATTGAGGCTGGCATTATGGGGAAGCAGGTTTCTAGAGTTTAATTGCGTATTCTGAATTTTCTGCCTAATTTTTTCAATTTTATCACTAAAGAAATTCATAAAATCGTTGCTGCTATAGGCTGATGGCATCTGGGGTTCACTAACTGTTTTGTTCTCTGTTAGTTTAGAGATTGTGCTGAAAAGTAATCTAGGATTATTCTTATTGTTTTCTATGAGAGAGGAGAGATAAGCTGAGCGTGCTGTAGCAAGTGCTTGTCTATAGTCTGTAAGGCTCTCCTTCCAGGCGGACTGGAACACTTCTAGCTTAGTCAGGCGCCATTTACGCTCAAGTTGTCTGGCGTTCTGTTTTAAAGCCCGAGTGTTGTCATTATACCAGGGGGCGAGTTTTTTCTGCCTTACTATTTTACTTTTTAATGGGGCCACACTATCTAGAGTAGATCGAAAACTATTCTCTAAGAGCTTGGTCATAGCATCTAGCTCAGTAGGATTAGATGGACAGATGAGAGCGGCTGATAATTTAGGAAGGTTTCTAATAAAGCCACCAGCTGTGGAGGGAGTTATTGTCCGCTTGACACAATAACATGGTGATGAACGCACATTACCACTAAAGTGAATTTCGTAAGAGATTAAGTAATGGTCAGAGACTGCTGTGCTCTGGGGGAGAATGGCTAAGTTATCTATGTTTACACCAAAAGTCAGTATTAAGTCTAGAGTGTGGTTGTGGTAGTGTGTGGGCCCCTTTATGATTTGGGTGAAACCTATGGAGTCTATGATAGATATAAATGCCTTGCTTAGTGCATCTTGGGGATTGTCTAAATGGATATTAAAATCTCCGACAACTATTATTTTATTTGAAAGCGTTATTAGACTTGATAGAAACTCAGAGAATTCCTGTAAGAACTGAGAATACGGCCCTGGTGGCCTGTAGACTGTAATTAGTGTAAAGGAATTTTTATGTGTTCCTTGATCACTTATATTAAGAAAAAGAACTTCAAAAGAAGAGAATGTATAGCCTACTTTCTGCCTCACGCCTAAAGCTTTAGTATGGATGGTTGCTATACCTCCACCTCGGCCGCTTAAACGAGGGCTATGTGCATAGCTGTAGCCTGGGGGTGTGGCTTCGTTTAGACTAAAGTATTCATCGGGTCTAATCCACGTTTCTGTGAGGCACAGAGCATCAAAGCTGTGATCGGTAATAATTTCATTAACAACGGCGGCTTTAGGAGTAAGGGATCTTATATTAAGCAGTCCTAGTTTTAGACCAAAGGTGCTGTCACTGCAAACTGGTGTAACTGGTCTGATATTAATCAAGTTACTGAAGCAAACTTTTCGAGGCTTTTTGATGGTTTGTTTTATTCGGGGAACAGACACAGTCTCTATTGGGAGAAACCTATGAGCATTTATATTTATAGAATGAGCATTTGTTACCCTATTTACAGTATAAAAGCTAGCAATCGCATAATCTTCAGCAGTAGCACTATCATAATGAGCTGTAGCGTTTCTATCTTTGCCGCTACTTACGTGGCCTTCGCTCTGGAGTCAGCGGATGGCCCTCTCGATGTTCCGTGAGAGAACTATGGATCCCAGGCGACTGGGGTGGAGGCCGTCCCTCCGGAAGAGCGCTGGCTGTTCCCAAAACGAAGCCCAGTTGTCCACGTAGGTCAAGCCGTTGAGGGCGCACCAGCCGCGGAGCCAGGACTGCAGCGCGAAGAGCCTGCTGAACCGCTCGGATCCCCTCCTGTAGGTGGGTAGCGGTCCGGAGATGACGATCCTGGCGTCCGTCTTCTTCCTGGCGGTGTCCAGCAGCGTCTGGTAGTGCTCCTTCAGGACCTCACTTTGCCGGTCGAGGATGTCGTTGGTCCCGACATGGATCACCACGGTCCCGAAGGCGTTTCGTCTGAGAGCCGAGGGGAGGTGCCTGGCTATGTCTAAGACACGAGCACCTGGAAAACAAGAAACAGTGGCATGGGTGTTTTTAACCTTTACTTGAACGTGGCGGACAATGGAACTACCAATAACGTAAACAGAGTCCTGTGTAGAGCGCCGGGGCGCCGGGGCGGGTGACGAGGTCCGGGGCGCTGGGGCGGGCGGCGGCGAGGAGGCCCGGGACGTAGGTGAGGGCGTAGGCGGTGAACAAAGGACGGCGAAACGGTTGCCGGAGGTGAAGATCGGCTGGGGCGGCGGTGAGGGTCTGCAGGGCCCTCTGCGGCGCTGGCGTTCCCAGGGACCATGCGGGGCTGGCGTGAGAACGGTGTCTCCCGGCGTGCGGAAAGACGACGCTGGCGCCACCACCGAGGGGGAAACTTCCCGGGTGGCTTCGAGCATCGACTTCTGCCGAAGGAGCTCGTCCTGCTTCTTCAGTAGGACGGTGATCTGTCGGTCCAGCCGGGCCAACTCTACGCTCAGAGTCTGGAGGGCGCGTTTCTGGGCGGACGCCATGGTGGATGGGCTGAGGGAATAACTGAGAGATAGATAGAGAAAAAGAGAGGGAGAAGACAAAATAAGAGGGAGAGGCGTGAGGGGGTTAGCGGCCTGCTAACTGCAGAATTTTCAACTAATTTTCAAGTAAAGTTTTCAGGTAAAGTTTGGACGCTGCTCGATCTGAAGTTCTAAGGTGTGCTGCTCTCTGTCGCTCGCAGTGACGTGCTCTCTGTCGCTCGCAGTGACGTGCTCATATATAAAATATATAAAATGATAACCATAGAAATGAAGTCATTCTGAAGAGTTGCGAAGCAACCTGTCACTTGAACAACACACAAATTCTTGTAGATGGCAGAGCCCTCAGTCTGATGGCCACAGCTGCTGAACCACAGCAGAACACCAAAAATAACCGTTCTTTGGTTTAATTCCTGCTTTGTGTTTACTGGGAATAAATGGGGTATGGTGAAGTTACTTCACAGTGAGCCCGATGGCCAAGACTGCAGTGTTATTTCAGCAGAGGATAATATATTTATAAATAGACTGTAGCTTCGTTTCTGTTGATGGCAGGAGCGGGACAAATGATTTCAGTTTTCTGCAGGAGCGGGATGAAATCTTGCAGGAGTGGGACTGAAAAAACAGTCCCGCGCAGACTTATAGTTTGAAGCACTCTGGGACCACTGCCTGGCTCTGACAAATGTTGAAGATGTTGTTAAGGTATGTTGTCAAGGCCAGCAGCCTTCCAGGGGTCCACTCTGGAAAGACATACACCATGAGCCTTTGGTGTTTTGAAAAGTGTCCAGGTATTCTCTGTGCATAGTTGCACTTTGCCGATGTGATTTCTCGGGACAGGTGGGCTCTTTCCTGAAGACAGCATTCCGTGTTTTCAGCATCACGCAAATTTCTGCAGTCATTGTCAGCTTCTGCATAGCACATGTATTGATCATCTTGAAAAAACTCTCACCTACGCATTTGCTAATGTAGCCAGTCACAGATGCTGTATATTCCTCCAAACCAGCTGTATTATAATATGTAGAAGCCTCCCTGAATGTGTCCCAGTCTGTCCCAGTGCTCAAATCCAGGTTCTCACCTGTTTCAGAACTGGTTGGGCATGCTTGCGCAGGGATTTGTATGCTGAAATGAACATAACAGAAATGTGGCTCAAACACCCGAGGTGGGTGGTGGGTGCAGCTTTGTACACGCTAGGGATATTGGTGTAAACAAAGTCCAGTGTGTTTGTTACATGAGTCGCAAAATAAACGTGCTAGTAAAATGTAGGCAGCACTCACTAGCTGATTGGTATGTTCTGGTTTCTGACTGTCTGCTTTACTGTGGTAGGGTTGTGTCTCAGCTCTTGGCTGAGCTTGATGGCCTGCATTCTTCCAGTGATGTCTTTGTGATCGGAGCAACAAACCGTCCAGATTTACTTGACCATTCGTTGCTTAGGCCTGGCAGGTAGGAATATAGACTTCTTTACCCATTCAGTTCCTGAGTTTCAATATTTCTGTTTGCTTTTGTAATCAAGTATTTATTTTGTGCATTTCTCCTCAGATTTGACAAATTAGTCTACGTTGGGATCAGTGAAGATAGGGAATCGCAACTGCAGGTTCTTAAGGCGATAGTACGAAAGTGAGTCCTTTAAAATTCTCTTTTAACCTTGCCAGACGATTTTCAGGACTAAGTTCCACATTGTCAAGAGCAGTGTTTCCCAACCCGGTCCTCAGGTCCCCAGACAGTCCACATTTTTCCTTCATACCTATGTATTTTGAGTTAGGTTGGCACAAAATGTGGACTGTCTGGGGGCCCTGAGGACCAGGTTGGAAAACACTGGTCTAGAGAGCGTTTCTGCTTCTCCATGTTTGCTGGTGACTTAGGGTGGTAAAGTTGTGCTGAAACCAGATATATATAATACAAATGTTTGTGCCTGATTGTGTCTGCAGGTTTAAGGTGGACCCCACTGTCAACCTCTCAGACATAGTGGAGCAGTGTCCTCCTCAACTCACAGGAGCTGATATATATGCACTATGTTCAGATGCCATGATGTTTGCTATTAAGAGGAAGATGTTGCGCATCAGTGAAGGTTATTCAAGTGCATGATTTCACTATTAATGTTCAACATTCTAGGTCCGTTTAAGGCGAACCCATTACAAATGCACAGATACGGCAGTGCAGTCTGTCTTTAAATCAGTTAATCATTATTAAAAAACACCATGTCATCTCTAATGGTTTAAATGCCATGAGCAGGAAAAATATGGCCCGCCTGTCTTGTATTATACCAAGAGCCACACTTTTTTTAAACTTAAGGTCCCATAGGCACGGCACTTTTGTTTCTCATCTGGTTGGTTGCAAAAGCAATGTTCATTCAGAACCAATTTCAGCATATTGTTTTATCCAGGAGCTAACCTTGAGCTTCACTTCCTTTCATCAGAGACTTTTTTGTTAATGTATACAGACTATGTAGTTAACATTGTTCAACATAAATGTAATTTGCCTTTAAAACAATCTTCTGAGCCCATTAAGCATTCTGCAGTTCACGCTACATATTTTTTAAATAACATTAAAGATATTGACCATTCATATGGAGCTGAATGGAAATGTCAAAACAAAGGTCACTTCCTACCACCCTTGAGTGGTTCGGTAGGGAGGTAAGGATGTCATTTGTGTTAAATGTCACCATTTTGGCATATAGCTCTCCATTTTCCTCTCCTCATTAGCTGAGACACTATGGCAAGATAAAAGGAAACACCAGTCTTCACTTGACATTTCAAACACTTTAATTTCATTGAAAATGTTCTAATGCTTTTCACAATGTTTTGTTGTCATATGCAGTACCTTATATAAAAAGCATTTTAATAAGGAGCAATATAATACCCTCGTGATCATTCAAGCCTAGGTAAAGTTCATGAGAAAAGCAATAACGAATAACACATCAAAATCTTGTTGACAATACAAGTCTTTTTTTTTTTCTCTTGGTCTCTTTCATTCATGCCCAGGTCTCGAGTCAGAGGACAGTGTGCTCACACTGTGTGCCGAGGACTTTAGCCGGGCCCTTGATGTCCTGCAGCCATCTGTGTCTGAGCAGGAGCTGCACAAGTACAAACTTATCCAGCAGAAATTCACCACAAAGTAACACTACCACTACCACTAGCACGACTGGGTGGAGTTGGCCATTGCTGCATGTACCACCTCATTCTGTGCATTGCTGGGATGCGCTGTCCCAACTAACTTACATTTAGTGTTATTACTGGAATAGTTGATAACTGGAACTAATCACTGTGTTGAGCTGAGAATTGTTAAATTATCATAAACTTTAGCTAATTTAGGAAACGCCCTTTAAAATTCAGCATTCAGCAAATGATTGTGCTGATAAATTCTACTGCTTTGTTACTGTAACACTATGCAAGCAACAGAGAGTCTCCCAAATGTAGGAAAGGAAGTGGATATAATTACTGGTTGGTCTCCACTGCCCACACTAATGTGTATGATAAATGACAGTGAAGGCTTTCTTTGTGGACTTTTTTTTAACTGGATAATGCTTGAGTGCTTGGATCGAAACCATTCATTAGTCTCCTGTAGTCTGTGTCAATACTGCCCAAGTTTTTTTGATCTTCCTTGAGGAAAACTGAAAGTAAGGAGGAAAGTCAGCTCTGTAAAAACATGTGCTTGCTCACAGGTAGTTGATGTAGTGTAAACAGATTTACCTATTACAAGTTTTGAGATGAAAGCAGGTCATCCACAATGCTCATTTTACACCATAAATCAACAGAGATTTTGACTTTCTTTTTATTGAATGGACACACTTGAATAGATATTTGGTCACACTTTATATTAAGTGGTAATGTTTTGTAATTCATTGGATAATTAATTAATTTGCTATGCAAATGGTTTGTATATGTGTTGGCATATGTTAAGTGAAATGGTCTAAGATTTACTAATTGTTCCTCTTTGTTATATAAAAAAAAAGCTAATTTGAAAGCAAAATAAAGAATATGAAGAGAAAACAATTGAAAACAATGTTCATTTCACTTTTCAGATTAAGAAAAGCTTTACTTCTTGGTCCATTGTTGTTATGTTGTTATAACATACTTATTACAAAGGACAAATAGGACAGCTTAATATAAAGTGTTACCTTGTTTATTTAATGAAAAAGTAAGTATGTAAAACCTATAGAGATGAAAAACTAAACGTATCAGATTCCTGCAACAAATCTATATGTCATGGTGACATAAGAGCTAGGAAAAAAATAAAAGACAATATAAACACAAAGGACAGAATTTCAAATAAGAAAATAAATTTGATTTCATATGTAAACTTTCAAACTGTGCAAGCTTATTTTTTTTTCCAACTTACAGTGCTTTCTGGCATCAGTTCCAGTGATCTAGTCCAAGATGGACTAAGTAACAGGAACCAGTCAAGTACTGGTACATGTTTTGCCACAGTAGTTTTTTAAGTAACATTCTTAATCATCATGTAAATGTTTATTTATCACCAGTAATTACTGGTAAAACTCTGTATCAAATGTGTTGATTTTACCATTATATTGTTCGTCACTGTATAAAATGTAAAGCAGTCGTGTGGGATTTATGACAGTTACTGAACAATGTCTTTAAATATTCACTCTTGAAGACAGTTTGCTTATATGCTCGGCCACATGCTTTCGATCTGGGTCGCATGTTTGACTAATGCAATAGCAATTTGCTATTACAAAAGCAGTGGTTGTTTTAATTGTCTCAGTACTTCATCTGTCATAGCTGTTCAGATCATAAGCCCATTGGTGCTCTTTACCACATTTCACTAGCCAGGAATATTTGCACTTTTTTTTCTTTTTTTTTCTATATCCACTCATTCAGTTGGAACAAATCAAAAACTGACCAGAGAACAAAGGAGTAGGAATCACTTCTGTTCAACCAAGTGTTTGGCACTGAAATGAAAAATAATGTACAGTCACACTCAGTGTAGTGTCATGAACCATAACAAATGTGTATTTTTAAAGAGAAAGGTATGAAAATGTACAGATGGCCATGTGTGGGGTAAAGATGGGGCCAGATTTCAGTCGGGAGGCCTGGACCTCTGTGGCGGGTCTCTTGCTTTGACAACAAACTCCGATCTCCTCTTTGGTTGGCTTTTGCTTTTAGTTCGTTGATTTGGCACAGATTGATAAGTTAGTTCCTCCGTGTCTTGGGCTTCTTCCATCTCTACAGCAGGTAGGGTTACTCGCTGGATCAATGACTCAAGTGAAATGTGGCATTCGATTGCAGGTTCTGCAATACAAATGAGCAATGAGGTTTTTTATGATGTAAAGGAATATATTTTTAGCAGAATCTCCTTATAACAATGCCATTCATGCTGGACAGAAATTCACACTGATTCAGTGTCATTTGGTCATACACTGAACATGATGTTACATGAAATTAACATGGGAAACTGAAAAAGTCCTTAACATACCTCAGTTCCAAGGTATCACACAATGTAAATTGGTTGATAATCGGTTGGTAATTGGCTGTTAACCCTTCAGTGCATCAGCCAAATTTGTGTTGTCAGTGTTGTTGAAAATACAAGGTAGCGTTTTTCTTAAAGCCACATTTAGAGCTGTAGATTCTCCTTTAATTTGTAAAAGTAATCAGATCTTTGTCAAATATACATAGTTAATAAGGAAAAAATGTATTCCTCTATTCTCCTATTCTGTCAAAAGACACAGAATCCTATTCTGAAGCCACTGATGGATAGTATCAAATGCAATACTCTCACGACCCAACAATAAAAAAGTCTTGTTTAATCTTGTGACATACGTTAGGCACATGCCTTCTTTACAGTGTATATTTAAAGAATAGTCATTGTTTCTTGTTTGTAATGTATGCCACTGTTCTTTATAAACGTCCCTCGTCCTTGAGAGATGGTTTCACCCCGTGAGCCTGTTCACTATACCCAGAGGCTCTCAGCTCGAAAAGAGGGGTTAACCTTACATGCAAAAATAGCTATATTTACCGCTTACGTGGCCTTTGCTACTTTTGTGCGCTTCATCCTTTTCCTTCTCATGAGGGTGACTTGAGGCCTCTTCAAGCCCGCGATGAGCAGCAGCAGTCTGGGTCGGGACTTGGTGAGCCAGCTTCTCAGTAGCGTCCCCTTGGGAAACCTTAAACAGATAACAATAGGTAAGTCCACCACATTACTGGAATCAATAATTATTGCTTTTACAGTAAGCTGTATATTAGGAAATGTGTGTACAGGGTCTAATTTGCGGGTTTTGTAAGTGTTGTGTTGGAAACTAATGGGTTTACTTTTACCATAATTTATTTCTTGCCAGTATTTCTTTTAACATGAAATTTGTCCTTTGTATGCTGCAAGTGAAATGAAGACAGCCACAGTGTGTGCGTGTCTGTATTTATATATGTGTGTGTGTGTGTGTGTGTGTGTGTGTGTGTGTGTGTAATTTAAGAACATCTTAGGCAATATTTGTGGAATCTCATTTGTGGAAATTCTGTGTATCTTTAGCTATATTTTAGGTAGGTTTTTAGTTATTACTACACATTTAACACTTGACCCAGCAATTTATAATTAGACCTCTTCTGATTGTATACTAAGAAATCTGTATGACATACTGACTAAAGCCAGGCTGTCTAATCTGATTCCTGAACAGCTCTACACAAGCCTTTATAATGTATGATGATGTCTATATGCATCTTGCATAACCTAGATTGCAAAGGCATGTTTAATGAATTCAAAACTTCTTCATATACGTAGGAAGATACAGCTTATTGCACTCTTAACAGCACTAAAGTGATTTTTCTTGTCACCTCTATGTGCTGTATCTTGTTGACCTGATGATGTTATATAAAGTGACAGCTTTCCTGCAAAGAGCAGAAACCTTTGACCATATTTCTGCTGCCATATTTGGTGCTGCTCAACAATCCTGTCTAATTACATCTGCTTCTGGCTACTCATCTTGAAGTGTGACCACTGCAGAGAGTACACAGGGCACAACGTGTATGATGTAATGCAGTCTGTCCACATTCTCATCACTTGATTGTAGTCTGGACTATTAGTATAATATTACTGCATGCCAAGTATAATTCCCTTTTTAAAAGTAGGTTTCAAGTCACCTATGCTTTCCAAACTGTGTTTCAGTTTCATTTTTAAAACATTTTCCCTAGAAAACTTTTCCAATTCATTTGTTTTATGGTACTTCTGGACAAAATGGTCTTAATTTATCCTAATTCAAAGGTAACGTTTTTGAATTTCCTTCTACATTTAGCCCACTTACACAGCATGGATAAAGAACTTTTCCTGGGACAACATTGCAGTCCGTTCTAATAGGAACATCCTCGTCTGACTACCATCTCCATATCAGACTCCTCTCCTTTTTCATGGTCAAAAAACCCCAAAAAACAACAGAACAGTACCTCAACCAGTAACACTCCTCACCGAAGCACCATAGCAACAAGTTTAGCCTCCTGAATTGTGGTACCTTCAGACCCTGAAGTCTCTCACATTCTTTGGTAATAGCACTCTGGCAGATGGGGGTAACGTTCTGCACCCCGAATAATGGCCCTACGCTTTTATATATACGTCCTAGCTTTCCCAGCACCACTAAGTTCTGACTGCTGAGCACGATGGAAAATATAAAACCTTCAATTGTTCAACTTTTGCTGGTCGAGCACAGCCCAACTGGCCAGAGAGAGATCTAGCAATGTTTAGACGTGCTAGGGCCTTGCTGAAGCCATTGTTGTGTCCCGGTGGGCTTAATGTTAAATGTAGCGAGAGCAACATTGTTTGTTTGTTTAGCTACCTTGTTTTTCTTCTTTTTTTTTTTCTCACCCAATTCTACCTTTCAGGAGATGGCCAGTCATGGGATTAGGGGTCAGACAGAAGTCAGGGAAGATTATTTAGCTCCTTGAGGGGAGATTTGGTGATGTGCATGTTCAACAAAGAAATCGAGACACATCCAACTGCATTTTTGCCTAATTTGCTTCATATTTCCAATAATTGAGGTAGATTCCGTTGAGGGTCCACAATAAAAGGTCCTTCTTTGTGGCGAAGTATAAGGTTGACCTTCTGTTGACCTTTCCATAAATCCATCAAGATTTTTTCACACTTCAGTGGTTCCAGAGCTCCAGGTTTGCAGCTTTTTTGGATGTTGTCCAGTTAATGACACATGCACACCCTCCAGAGCCAATCTGTAATGTCCAAATATTTTGCCAGAAAATGTTCTATGAAACATAGTTTTTAATTTTGTCTAAATCTCAGCGCAATTTTTTTCTCTGCTTTCTCTGATGCAAAAAAGCATAAACCTGTACATTTGTCCCCCTAAAAACACCACTGACATCCCCAGGCTTCCAAATGAAGATATTATCTGTCATATTCATATTATTGTATGTCATATTCATTGTATCTTTAAATGAAGATTGTGAAAAAGTTTAAATGGCTAATTATGGCTAAGAATTTTCTGCAAGAATAGAAAACAGATTTCCTGACATCATATGGTAAACAGTCCAATAAAGTTCAAGTTTTTAACAGTTCAGACCTTTTTAGGATTATCCACATTATCCACAAACTAAGATAGCATCATTTCAACATCTCAAAGAACACTCAATCCTAAAATTCCGGGTTAAATTCACGGTCCAAATGCAGTCCTAATTTGTACTCACGGTCCATGCCAGAACTTAACGTTATCTTAGCCATCTGCTTTGCTGTCTTGTAACTGGTTAAATGTATATTTCCATCACATCCTGTAAGAAGGAGAAAGTGGAAAGCAGTCCTTACCAATTGACCCCACACATTTGTTAGGTTATGCCCCCTGCGTCCCTGCAAAGGCACATATATGATCCTAATGGAGTTTTTTACTCTCACACTAGAAAGTTCAACCAGGATGGAAAAAACAAATCTGCTGGATAATAGGAGGCCATGAACTCCATGGGGCAGAGGGGGGGGCTTTAAAAAGGAGGGCCCACTCAGCACTTCTCCCTGTGAGCGACAACAGATGATCCCTGCCTCTCC